TTGCGATAAACGGATAAAAAATACAGTTATTGCATATCATATTATCAATACCATAAGCAAATTGTAAAAAGATATTGGTCATTTTGAAATTATATACCAACAAAAAGTGATGTTTTGTAATACTAATAGTAGCGTTCATTCTTTCACCTAGCTAGTAATTTGATACTTCAATGCCGCTTATAGCAAAAAGGTGATGTTGAACTTAAATGTCACAATATATAAAAGAAATATGAAAAATGAGAGGTATTTATATTAATTCATAATAGCTCGCAATATATTATTGCCCAAGGGCACATATACATTATAGTCTTGCGTACGAAGCAGTGGCAGACAAAATGTTAGAAACTCCTTTAATTCTCATAGCTTTACCATTCAAACAATAGAAATTTAGACGTATACCTGTAAGTAAGTACCTGTGCGACGACTAATGATAAATGCAGCAGGTGAAGGGCAGCGAAGACACCCTAAAATAGTATACATTCATGTGGTATACAATAACGTATTTGTTGTACTGCATATCCTTTAGGTGCAGTCACGTCACAGACGGTGCAGTGGGGAAATCTCCTGTAACTGTGGAGTAGCTGTACGAGAGGGGAACGATGCTGTGATCATAGATAAGTGCCACAACATCTACGGTGCTGCAAGTGTCCGGTACCTGACTGCAAACGATGACGGTAGACTTTCACCAGGATTTATTGTAGAGAGAGACGGCAATGGGAAACAATTCAAGGTGATTAAAAGTTTATATAATGAGAATTAAACTATTCTCCAATGCCCAAAAAATTGACTCAACTTAATACTTAGCACCGGGCGACAGTTTAATTCTCATTATGTATTTTACCGACTCAAAAGAACTTAAATGCTTGTGGTTAAACGCTATTTCTTTTACATTTCCGATGCTGTGCCCAACATGTTTGGAATTCCAGAAGAGTCGATATTTGTTCATTGATGTAAAAATAATGTTTCAAGACTTGTAGTAACAATGTAGACTAGTAGAACAAAATCAGTCTCAAGAGTTTCTGAAATCCCCAACATAGGAAAAATATGAGACAAAGATAAATATTTATAAAATAAATACAGTGGTGACAATATAGTGACAAAAATGCGGGTACACCTGAGCTATGATATGGTCTGACATCTTGGATTTTGACCAATTACATATAATGTAAAAGAGGTTATAAGTGGAAAACGGAAGTTTCAATGTTTAAACTGTGTTCCCAAAACTGAATTTCAGGAACCCGCTGCATGCCATGTCAAAATTTAAAAGGTATATTCTAGAAAAGGTATATTCTAGAAAAAGTAAAAAAAAAAATTGGTAATTCTAGCGCAAGTCGTACAGGCGCTATATAGAAGATGAAAGTTGCCTTGGGCGTCAAAAATCCTCCCTCCGTCTGAATAGAGTTAACAAGAAATCATTTCGTGGTAAAGTTGGAAAGCGGTCATTTACAGTGAAACATGAATTCTTCCATATATTTTTCTATTCGACAAATAGCACTGTGTGGATATTTTTAGATTATATTCCGTGCAAATATTTCAGTAATCAATGAAGTTAAACTAAAAAGTTACTATTCTAAAAAAATGGACCATAAAATTCCATCTCTTTAGCATTAAACGTGAACTTAACTTTGTTTTTTCCCCAAAATTAAACTTGAACCACAGGTAATTATGCCATCTGGAGCCTTCGTCGAGGCGACAGGATCTGGCTGGATGACCATACGCGCCCATGCTCCGGGGAAAGACAAGGGCCACACGGAGGGAATCTGTGGATTTTTCGACGATGACCCTGACAATGACCTGAGGAAGCCTGACGGATCTACAGCTAGTCACCACATCTGGCCGGACTGGCACAGGGACTTCTCTCTCGCCTGGCGGTGAGATAAAATGCTTGCGATGTCATGGGTCATGTAAAAAACCTATAGGAAGGTAGGGACTACAGTGACGCGGTAATAAATTTGCAGCTGCGATGGTAACAGATAAAATCTTTTAAAAATTCTAAACATATTATTCCTGTACGTTTGGGACCGCATTGTGGATACAGTTCCCTGTAATCACGCATATGTGTAGATATGTAATTATTGTACATTTGGGAATGCATCTTTAGCAGCAACCCATGTGCTTGTAGAATTGCCCTTAGGAAGGTGACAGACCGACAGCGAAACATCGGCTGAATAAAAGACTTGGTTGTGTAGAAAAAGTCTTTTGATACATATTCAATTTTATCCACTGCCATTTCTGTTTTTTTCTCAAACGGAAGGGTAAGTTTAACCCTATCTAGACGTGAGGAAAGGGGGGACGTTCATGCCAGATAACGTCTTAATGGCTGGAGCTAGAACCACAAAACATAAGGACTTTAAATTTCCTAAAATATATCAAGCAAAAAAATTAATGATATTTAGTTGTATATCCTTGTTGCCACAACAAAAAAGGCAAAACTAGTTTCTGACGCAAATTTTGAAAATATCCATATTTGTAGTTTTCTTAAGAAATATTCAGAAATTATGCTAAGGCCAAAGCAAGTACATTATACGGATGACATCCTCTAATTCGATAGGGCGAAGAAAACAAGGAGGGCCGAAATGCGCAGCTGATTTGGTAGACGACACGCGGCGTATTGCAAAAATTCTTTTTCTAGAAGCAGAAAAGCAACTTTATACCTCGTGGTTGTATGTAATAATGATGATAATTACAAATTATTCATTTCTCAAAGAAATATTTTATGCAAGTGATGTTTCCAGATGTTGAATAGCATCAAAAGGGTTGTTAGCTGTAAAACTTTGAAATATGTTCGCAGGGGCAGGGAATGCACCTTTATATTTATCATATGAGTCTAAATTGTTTATTGCTGAAGTTGAGAAGAGTTAATATCAAAGGGTAGTATTTATTGTGATAAAAACGTCATAGCTATTGTTCGAATGCGATAAACGTTCATGCTAATTCGATATTTTATTCAAGTAGTCAGTTTACCCCAGCTTTACAGAAAATCATTTCATCGCAATTGTAATTACATGTGTTTTGTTGAATATAGAGTAACACCAGGTACAAGCCTTTTTGACGTAGACTGCTTGGAAAAAGTGGACAATGCTATTGCAGACGTTGAGTTTTGTACCTGTCCTTCGGGTAACGTCGCGAGTTGTGACTTTACAAAAACACGCAGAGTCAGCAGCAGGTACAGACCATTCGCACCTCCCCAATCAGCAAGAAACCGCAACTGCCACAGGAGGAGGAGAAACGTGGAAAACATCGAGGACGATCCACTGCTCTATAATGATGACGTGGACCTTACTGACTACGTGTTTGACTACGGAGAGGGCTCTAATCCTGTTGTCAACAGCGTTTGGCCAACTCCTAATAAAGGAATCACAGAGCAGGACGCGAGATCTGCGTGTCAGGGAGCCATTATGAACTTGACCATCGCCCAAAGCTGCAGGGACATTTACAATGTCGACATCTTCTCAGGCGTGGACTTCTGTATGGCTGACATAAAAGTGAGCTTAATTACAGTAAAAACTAATGACCAAATTTTCTAAAATTAAAATTGTTTATATCACAAGGCGATTTTCCTTTACTTCCTTAATTTTAGCAATATAGAATATTTGAAATCATTTATGATCTACAACTAAGGAGACTAGAAGTTAGAAAACAAGTCGTTTGACGTTGCTGTTGTCACAAGCAGGAACCTAATCAAATTGAAAAGCACATACAACTAAAAGCCCGTTTATGACACTCTACATATATTTTCAAAAACAACTGTAAATGTTTGCTGTTATTTTACTTTATCTGAAATGTCTTTAACTGTTAAATCCATTACCTTTTGTCCTTTTTGACTTTCGGACATTAAATTGTTATTGCAATAAGCATACAAAGCCTAGGTGTAGGGGCGGCTTATTTGCCATTCCCCTTTACGCTGCACAAGTGTATCCAAATAATTCGGAATACTAAAATACGAATATAATGCAAAAATCAGACGCATCTAGAACTATACACCGAAAGCTATATATTGCTTTATACCGAAAATTAAAAAAAAAGTCAAACTCATGGTTAGCAGAAGACGGTATTATACAATAGTTTAGTAGAGTATCATTACATTTTCCGACTGATAACATCCAACATTGAAAAAGAAATGTATAAAGTCTGCGCATTATACTGCTTTATGCTGCAGTTATGTAGCAGAATAGTACATTTCTGTTTTCCCGACTAAAAGCATTTTGCTATTATTATAGGTCACGGAGGAATTCGACTATGTAGACATCATAGTGCAGCAAATCCAGGCAGATTGCGCAGAAAAAGCCTACAAGAATGTCAGCCTGTACGAAACCAATGAAAACGGCACAGCAGTACCCCCAACCTTCATCACGGCAAACCTGTGTCCACGTCAGTGTAGCAACAACGGCCAGTGTGTGAACGGTACCTGTAAGTGTAACGAGGCATACGCGTCGGAAGACTGCTCCATCCAAGTTGGCAGGCCTCCCGTTGCTTTCGCTCTCCCCGCCGAGGGTCTCTGTGACGTCCGGACCCGTCCGTGTATGAAAACCTCGTTCTTTGCTGAGGGACTGATGGATTCAGAGAATCTTACCTGCAGAGTAACTCATGTTAAGGTAGGTTAAAAGGGTACATACACATTGCTGTTTACGAACAATTAAAATGCAAAAAAATCTACTTGTATTTGAATACTCTAAAAGAGAATGTACAATGTATGTTCATTGGCATGCCATGTAGTGTTGTGTTGTGTTGTGTTGTGTTTTTAATCATGATTAATGTGAACATTTTTTTCACTCTAGCACAAACTTTATAACAGTGCCGAAAAGCCACATTTGTTTGTGTTTGTTTCAGCCTTTGTTAATTTGTAGAAGAGTTAAATCGGCCTGCTGTCTTCCTTTGAGATGGCGAGTTCAGGGCCTGAAAAATATAACATAACATACGGGTTGGAGTCCTACCAAATCTAAAACAGAAAGTCGCAAAGAAAACAGAAAATTATGCAAGCATCTTGTTCTTTTTTTTAGATTCAAAATGGACAAAAGATTCCTGAAACCTCTAGCGGCAGGTCTGGAGCAGAGTTCAGGAGTTTTGGGGAGGTGGCATGTATCCTTCCCCGGTCACCTGTACGTTACGGAACACCTGCTACTAACGAAGGCGCAGTGGCTCATGGGATGCTGGTCTCCGTCAGTAACGATGGAGAACGGTTCAGTGGAGAGTTGTTCTTCACAGTGTACGACTCTGTCTGTCAGGAGTGTACTGAAGGAGGTGACTGCCTGTGGAAGGTATTTAAAAAAATTGAAATTAAGAAGTATAACAGTAATGCAAATATAAAATAGGTGTGCCTGTATTCTCTAAATAGACCATAACGTTCGATTATTATACAACCTGTGCCATGTTTTTATACAAAAGTTCTTTTGGATACAGCAAAACACGTGCAACATCCGAGAACACTGCTTCGGGGTTGAAGAACCAGATCCCAACAACTGGTGTCTTCAATGTCTGCCTCAATTTTCCAACACGACCTGGTCCAACAGGCAAAGTGAGTCATAAAGTGATATGTCAAAAACATCTAGATGATTTGATAGAAAATAATACTATTTTAGTTACGGTACGTATATATCACAGAAAAATAGGTTTAAAAACACACAAAGATAGTTACGTTAAATCAAAACAGATCAGAGAAAAAAATGGCATATGAAGATACCTAATGTAAAATATAGCGATATTTCTTGACACAATTCTATACTTTAAATGTGCGTATTGTTTTAATCCAGATAACAGCCCACCGTCTTTCACCACCTCACCGACCATCACAAAGCTTCCCGCTGAAAATCTGACCATGGCCCTGAGCGCTGTAGACCCAGAAAGCAGACCTTTGACCTTTAGTCTCGTGACATCAGGAGGTCCAGGCGTTACTGTGAAGCCAGACGGCGAGCTGACGTGGATAGGAGACTTCACAACAACGTTCGACATCAGCATCGCTGTTCAGGATGAGTGTGGTTCATCAGCAGAGCAGACGTTTCAGCTGACGACCACAACGTGTGACTGTCAAAATGGAGGACTGTGTGTTCCTGATCCCGACAAGCCTCGCGGCCAAGGCCACTACAACTGTGTCTGTCCAGGGTACACCGGGCAACTGTGCGAAACAGAAATTGACGAATGTCAATCAAACCCATGTTCCAACGGAACCTGTATTGACCATGTGAATGGCTACAACTGCACCTGCGTGGAAGGATACATTGGTGTTAATTGTGATGTGAGTGTTAATAATAAATGTGCCCTGGAGCCGTGCTTCCCAGGGGTCTCTTGTGTTAACCTACAGGACGGAGGTTACCAGTGTGGCAGATGCCCTCCTGGCTTCCTCGGCAACGGATTTGAGTGTGAAGGTAATGATGTACTTTTAAGGCATGAAAAACGCCTTATATTCTCATATATTATTAATATCTCTTTCAATGCATTAGCTTATCATACGTTATCCTTATCATTTTCTTACCATGTAATGTTGCATGAATCAAGAGAATATTAATAATTTTCTCTCCACAGATATAAACGAGTGTGATCTGAATAACCACGGCTGTCCACATCTTTGCGAGAATCTACCGGGAACGTACGAGTGCACCTGTCCAGAAGGACTAGCTCCGGTTGGAGATCTTTGCACGGGTGAGCCTCAAGATTCAGTTCTACGTTTGCTATTTTGAAAGGATTTTAGGAGCTAGCCTTGTGTTTAAGTTTGTAACATTTAAGATATTGATTTTATTAATGTGTGCAAGAGAATTTAAGACTGTAATTCAATTTCATTTCATATTCATAATTGATAGATTTGGATGAATGCCAGCTGGAGCTGGATGACTGCTCCCACATTTGCACAAACACCAACGGATCCTACACCTGCGGATGTCCACCCGGTTATGTACTTGGTAGTGATGCAAGAACATGCGATGGTAAATACGTTTTTTATCTAAAACCAAACATACCTCATGCAAATGTCAAAAATTCTTCCCAAAATACTAAGATGAAAATTCACTTGGGTGTTTACAGAATTATATGAATGCAAAATTATTACTGGCGTTGAGTTTTTATAAATTTTATGGCTGTCATTATTTCAGAGATCAATGAATGCAACAGCTCGCCTTGCCAACATGAAGGTCGATGTCAAGATGGCGTCAACCAGTACAGCTGTTCTTGCACCCATGGTTGGACCGGATCCAACTGTCAAGATGGTAAATAATAAGTTCCTTTGGTGACTTGCGTAGTTAATCATGACTTACACTAATTAATTTTAAAAAATGTATTAGTGATTAGTAACAATACTGAATAATGACGCTGAAAAGTTTTACCGTTTATTTTAGGACCGAGTGGACGGTGTTTGAAGGCCCACTGTAACATGTATCTTCTTATCGTGTAACCATCAAATTTATATCTGTTCAGCTATGACGGAAGTGATCTACATTATTTGTCTTTTTGATAGATCTAGATGAATGCAACCTGATAAATCACGGTTGTGAGTACCAGTGCCAAAACACACCGGGCAGTTATGTCTGTGTATGTCCGGAGGGATACACTGTCGGCGCGGACGGCAAATCCTGTAGGGGTAAGTTATAGCTTAGTTTGTCTTTGTTACTTATTAAAGAATCTAACAAAAATGGCTATTTATGACAGTGTTTGTTCTGATTCTCAGCTGTTTGCACAGGGTAGGGGGGGGGGTGCACTAACCGTATGAGATAGCCTTTTTGGGTTGACAACCACACACTGCCGTATTTCTTTGCCCTTTTAAGGCCTGATATCACAGCTTGTATTCAAAACCGCACTCTGCCGTATTTCTTTCCCCTTTTAGGGCACTATACCAGAACTTGTATTCACGACCGCACACTGTTGTATTTATTTCCCCATCTAGGTCCCGAGACCACGACGTTAGGGCCAGAAACATCAAGCACGGCAGGTAACTGTTAAAGTACTTTGCATGCAGCATATACTCAAAACATGTTCTAACTCTATATATTGTATGCATACATGTCCTGACATGGCCATGGCGTTTGACCCTACTTTTGTTGTATGGAGTTACTATATGTCTAATCAAAGTGCGTACCAACGTAACGAATATGTCAATATCAATCTGAGGATCAGGCACATTATAGGGCGCACTAACTATAGGGAGGTGAACTATCACTTCGATAACATCCTGCAAAACCCCCTCAGTCACTTACATGTAGTAATGTTTATCTTAAATGCCTTAGTTATATAGAGTTACATATATAAAAGATATATTGGTCCAAAGATTTAAAAATATGCCGTTATTTCATGGATATATGTCACACTAGATCCAGGTTTCCTAACATTTTTTTTAAATTTCCAATTTACCATGTTATATAGGTTCTTGAACAAAGTATAAGGAATGAGTAATGCATTTTCAAAAGAGGAATTTAATGATCTTGAAAACAAAAAGATTATATGGTAATGATGATAGTTTAATATTGATGATGATAACAGTAAAAGTAACGTTACTTACATAATTTATGTAGAACAGAATATTATTGCTAACATAGTATTCATTTACATTTGTACCTTCTAGATTCTCAACATCAGGACAGCGGGACTACAAAAGAACCTATTGAAGGTTTGTATACACATCATCACCATTATTCCTTCAACGTATCAGTTCATTCCAGGTTGCAGTAAATAGGATAATATATTTACTATCAATGTTTCTTCATATTATAAGTTGATGACTGCAGGAGCCACCCTTGTCCAGACGAAGTACACCAGGACTGTGTCGAAGTAGAGGGTTCATTTGTTTGCCAGTGCGTACCTGGCTACTATCTGTCGGAGGATGGCACGCAATGCAAAGGTTAGTTGTATATTTATGGCTTGAAATCCTTTCTTTTACCTCCGGGTCGGGATGTACTGTTTTTGGCATGTTTTTGTGTCTGTTGAATTGTGTTACCAGATACATAGATTTCGATACTGGCCATTTACCAAACACTATGCTAGAACGTCTAGGCATTACATAGACTGCTAAAATATTTGAAAAAAAAAATATCCCTTAATGTTTTTAAGTGGTTATTGTTAAGTAGGTACATCATTATACACGTACCTCTAAACATTATCAAATTATGATATTGCCAATAAAGACCTGACAATTTAGCTATAAAAATGTAATCTACTAGTTACCGTTTTGTTCTTTAAATTTAGAGAGCACAACGTTTAACACGGAGGTGACGATCTCCCAACTCGGAACCGATGAAGCGGTTTTCACAGAGAACGGTTTGGGTGATCCGGAATCAGAGGAGTTCAGCACAACTGCAGCGATTTTGGAAACAGCGGTGAGTTTTTTTTTAGAAATTGCTTCAGAACTGGCACCGAAATATTCTAAATTACCTTGTTATCTACATTGTCTGAGGATTTCAGGTTACAGGACCAAAACAATTTTAAACTCCCAATTCTAACAATATAAAAGATGAGCTTGAACATGTCTACTGTAATTATAAAGTTAAGATGGACACACATGTAAAGTTAAGATGGACGCTGAAATGTCTTGCAAGGTATCTAATGAAAACGAAACATTTCAATTTTTATGTCTCCAGATCGATGGAATTTTTGCCACCAGTGATATGGAGAATCGCTACAAAGGTTGTAAGGTCACAGGTTTTCGAGCAGGAAGTGTCATCGCCGTCTTCGACGTCTACCTCGGCGAAGGAGGGACTGTCTCAACCGTTGAGATCAAAGACATCCTGTACGCCGGGATACTGCTTAACAACAATACTTTGGGCTCTGCTGGTTCAATTGTGGTGATTCCATCATCCATCCAGGTGTTGGAAGGTGCGGGAACTTTTTAAAGTTTGCATTTTACCAAAAGCGATTGTATGTCCTTTTTTATCATCATCATCGGGTATAGGATAACTTTTCTATCCTGACACCAATATCTTAAATATCAACATCAACAATTTAGCGTTCTCGTTAAGCTATTTAGTTAATGTGGTATTTATTTTCAACGTGACAAAATTTGTAGGCCCTGCGGATCATGTAGTTTTTATCTTATAACGTTAAAACTTTACCTTTCAATTCAATAATCAATTAAAACAACTGATGTGACAAATGGATGAATGAATGAATAAATAAATAAATAAATTGAAACACACAGTGTGTACGATACAAACGTTGAGGACAACAATAGGAATTGAAAAAGGAATTCACGGGGCCCTCTCGTTTCTTTTACAATCACGGTTATAAGAAAATACCGGTGTTAGAAATTCCAATGTTTTTTACTTACCATCTCAATGATATCACTCCAATAGCTATCCCCAACGAAGACACACACTGGTACAGGGAACCGCTCTACCTGGCACTGCTTTGTGTTGGCCTTGCAGTTGTGGTCACAGTCGCTTTGGTGGTCGTCCTCTTCAAATGCACTGCTCGTAAAAACCGCCTGTGCGCCCCAGCGAAGTTTGGTGAGTACAACGTCAACATGGAGATGACTACAAAGGACAAGTTTGATAAGGCTAACTACTAGTTGATGTCTAGATCTCAATTCTAGATATAACGTAGAATTAGATGTAGTATTTTCTTTGCTTAACCCTTGTCAGCTGGAATTTTTTGCACAATATTTTCAACTAATTTGCACGTCGGCATTCGTTGCGTTTTGTTGCGTTTCCTTGCGGTGTGAAGTGTTGTACGAGAAATACTCCCAAATTGATCATAAACAGGGCGCTCTATAGATTGTACTGCATGTGAGACCTATATACATATGGGCTCCGCAAGACGGGGATCGGTAGTCGCAGATAAAGACAAAGAACAAGATTGTTTTAAATGCAATTTGGCTTTTTAGGGCTACTTTTTGTTCTTGTGTGAGCGATAAGCACTAATTTGACTCAACAACTCACTATCACGGTTTTTTGTTTAAAATGTTTGCAGTGAAAAAAAAACATAATACAAGATATTTAGAAGCGATAAGATGTTAATTTTAGGCAGGAAAATGTACGACTTATTTGTGATTTTTTTATTTGCATTGTTCGAAATACACAGAATATAAGAACATACAATAGCGTTTGGTTTCCTGAACTTTTAATAGATGAGAAATAATGATTCAAACCCCTACCACACATAGCGAAAAATGGCATCTTGAAAAATGCCGAACTTCCTCAAACATGTTTAGAAGTTGGTAGAAACCAAATTCGGCTGCGGTCTTCTGGTGTTCAGCGAGGTCGGATACAGTGTGCCGGCCAAATTTGCTTCCATTCGTGTTGAAAGAAAGGAAGTCTGGTAAACATGAAATAAAAATTATGTCAATATCTGGATTTGGGGGGGAGGTTCTGGATGTGTGGCAGGGGCTTAATGTAGCTATGCTAAACGATCATATTTTATTACTGATAGCACCATTTGTGAGAAAAATGCAAGCAAGTACAACCACTTAAGTTTGAATGGTTAAACGCCCTTTCTAAGCATTAAAAAACCAATTTGACTTTGTTGTTTATGAGTTTTTTTCTTGTCTTGTTCGCCTCTTTCACCAATTTATTTGCAGCTGTTTAAATGACAAATCAGAACAATATATAAACGGATGAAGACATGAGACCTTAGATGTTACCTTCGCCAAGAATGTTGCCGTTATGTTTCCATAGCGCTTGTGTGTATGTAATAACTATGTATGTATGTGTGTGTGTGTGTGTGAGTGTGTGTGTGTGTGTGTGTGTGTGTGCGCGCGCGCGCGCATGTGTGTTTATGTGAGTGCATGCGTGACTATGTGTAAGTGTGTGTATGTATGTGTTATATTATTATACATGGGAAATTGTTACAATTTCATATGATATGAATTTAATACTTGCCGCAACTTTGGAACTTAAGCGAGGGTGAATATCATGAAACATTACAACTACGCTGTATTTAAGCACGCTGATGCCAGGTGAGGGTATCCAGGTGTGTTTGAGGTCACGTGGACTGCTCCTAACCTGGTTACGCTTCTGGCGAATGCGCGCCCAGGTCAGGAGCGTCCCCTTGACTCAATTAGAATGATAATGATTTTGTTGTCATTCTGGCGTAATATGCAATCCATATACCGTCTAAATAGTCCCTTTTTAAAATCCATATGTAAACAACAAAACAAAAAGTGTGTGTGGTAGAATACCACGGTCTAAGACTTATCAGGACAACAACATGACGTGGATATCAAAGCCACAAATGCATTTTATTGTTACACAAACAAATCCATGAACATTTTAGTTTTATTACGATTTGCTTGTCATAGAATCACAAACAAGGGCAGGCACACGCAAATGGATGTTTCATGTCTTTTAGAATACGTTTAACACACAACCTTTCAACCGTACGAACACAGCACAAACAAATTAAAGTTTATGGTCAATATGTGTGTGGTTCAGCACATTAATTCAAGAAGCTTTGGATGAATTGTTATGAAACTTGGTAGGAGGGTAGGTCAACATCATAGCTATGTTTAAGGTCAATCGGAGATAAAGAAACGATATCGGTCAATTTCTTAAAGCAAACTTACCAAGTGGAATATGATTAATTTTATCATATCTTAATCTGAAAAAGATATACTAATTGGTACTCAAAACTATCAGCACTTCTGACATTTAATATCTGTTACGGGAGAGTTAAAAAATCCACATTAAAACAAACAAACCGCACATTCAAACAATGTTTTTTTTTCATATTCCCTAGTCCTACCTCTGTGAAAGTACTGCTTGTTCAACTTTGAAATTCAAAAAAGGATAATAAAAAGTAACAAAAAATGGCCAAAATATACCACAAGTCATAGGAATGTCAAGTATCAAAAATAATTTTGCTATATACGATTGCGAATGGAGGACACCAAATACTTCACATCAAATCATTATTTTTTTAGATAAGTTGCACTTAGATATTTTGATTTCTTGTGTGTGATTATTCTGACGGTCTACGGCGTATCCACGAGCCTTTTAAAACTGTCGGCTCAGATTTTAATAATGCCTTTTAAATCACTATGTTTGTCATTGGTGTTGCTGGTCGTGAGCTGGAGCTAGAGCTTGGCCGGGTTCCTCGCTCGGGGACAGTGGAGTAACCAAATTCTTCTCGAATGCGTTTTAAGATAGACGAAGCAACCGGTAAAGGGAGTCCGAAATTCAGCAAATCCATTTCAGTGGCAGCCACCAGGTAGCCCAATGTGATGTTGTTCTCGGCGAAGATGTGGAGAAACTCCATGAACCCGTGCCGTTCAACGAACTTGTAGAGTGCTGGATCTAAGAAAACGGAAAATGAAAACTAGAAAGGCCGACATCTCTCTTCTTACATCAAAATGTTGTCCTGTATATGCATATGTCTTAAGCACATCCATATTAAAGTTCAAGTCAATTCCTCTGATAACCAAGACAAATCATGCCGATATACATTTTTAGGCTAAAAAAAATAGTCCCAGCTTTTGCAGTTGTGTAATAAGCAAATATGTTGATAGATCGCTGTTGCAATATGCCCAACGTACACATATAGCAAATTTCAGGTTTTGGTTTAAGGCAGAGTGATTTAGCAAAAAAAATCAACATATTCTAAGTGTATTTTTTTTTCTCTGAGTATGTCATAAGAGTATATTACTTATTGTCGTTGGGCATATTTTAAAGGCATCAACATACCTACGTTTAGGTTATTTAGCACAATAGAGCACAATTGTCATATATGTTGTCTCACTATACACATTGTCAAGTTTAGGTGTTATGCCAAAGGTGTGAGTAAATGTCTTTGTGCATATGTCCAAGGCGCTCTCATGCCGCATGTCAGGTCATCTGATTGTAATGATAGAGCATAGGGCCAAAAATCAAAATTTTGTCTGAAAAAAAAAAAACATACATACCTAATTTGCAAAGTTGTACATGCCAAAGGCGTAAATTGTGAGGGTATGTGTCAAAGGCAGTCAAGTACCGAATTTGGGTTTGAGTGCGGAGAGCTTCGGAACCTTTTTGCATAAAGCCTGTTTAAAAAGATTTTAGAATTTTGTATTAAAATATTTTTAAAAAAGCTTTTGGGGGTATTTGCATAATCGGCATTTATACTAAACACCGGGTCATTTCGCCCCAAAATGAAGAAATCCAATCCATTTACCGAAATGTTAGAAGGGAAACAATGCATATCATCCATACCTATAGTTTGGGATAATTAAAAATATATATAATTAGTGGTACACAATATCTATACTGCCCACCATTTCACCTACTAGATATAAGATTGCTGAGACTAATTTATTATATACATGTCACAGGGGAGATTGGAATCCAGGGGAATCCGGAACTCCCCTAGGGGAGATTGACATCCCTATCTCCCCTAGGGGAATCCGGAACTCTCCTATGGAAGATTAGAATTCCGATATCCCCTAGGGGAAATTGGAATTGAAGTTTTTCTTCTACAAAACTGGGATCTGAATATCTGAATTCCAATCTCTCCTAGGAGAGTTCCGGATTCTCCTAGGGGAGATAGGGATTCCAATCTCCCCTAGGACAAGTGGGAATTATTACAATCTCCAATTTTAAAAGGAGAAATTCTGATTGCATCAAAATGCTTTGGAAAATAGACTGAATTATTTCACACCTAAACTTTCAATCGAATTCAGCATAGGTAAGTGAATATGTAAATCAGACTCAGATATTTGCATCAGGCCATTGTGAGATAGTGAATCAAAAACCAGTTTTTCCAGTTAGTTAGTGACTTGGTATATAAGGGATTGTTCCCCATGCCAAGCCAGTCAAAGTGACAGCATACTGATCAAGTCATGGCGGAGGATGAACAGCAGCAGAAAGCAGAATTCTACAGATTGGTTGAAGAGCATATCAGCAGTGTTGGGCAGAAAAAGAAGGACAGCCTCTTCATCACCCAAGAAAGATACGACAAGGCTCTACAAGCATTACAACAACCCAAGGGAGTGAAGTGCAGAGATGGGAACAAATTCAAGTTCTGGGCTACCCAGCACTTCAAGAATATCAGAATATCAGGATTCCAATCTCCCCAAGGAGGATTCCAGATTCCCCTAGGAGGATTCCAGTCTCCCCTAGGGGAGATTGGAATTCTGATTTCCCCTAGGGGAGACTGGAATCCTCCTAGGGGAGATTGGGATTCCAATCTCCCCTAGGAGAAATCAGAATTCCAATTTCCCCTAGGGGAGTTCCGGATTCCCCTGGATTCCAATCTCCCCTGTGACATACACATTAAAGTAGTAGAGCTTTAACACATCAAAGCTTGTATGTCACAATACAGCAAAACCTGAACGACATGCCTGGCTGTTATAATAGTGGCAACATAAATTTTCACTTACCGACATTCAGTCGACCTTTGCTTCCAACGTCTTGCTCCCCATTCGAAACACCATGGACAGGTAAAGCGTTTTTTAACAGACGTGCGTATCCGTCTGAGTTGATGATACCGTCGTCTTTTTCCAATGGGTGGGGGGTGACGCTTTCCTTCTGTTAAAAAATAAGATGCAAAGATGTTTTTACTGTTTCAGCGTTACTTTACCGATACCGTTGTACGGATAGCTATTTCTTCAAAACAAATACAAGGCATCAATGAAGAACAAAAACCAACTTACCAGTGGTAGGGCTGGTAACCGTGCTCCGGGTAGATCTCTTAACGTATAAGCCTGCTCATCTCGAACACGGCCTTTGTTGTAAACAAAAAATGCGTTTTAATATGATATTTGAACAATTAAGCGAGTTGCATTAAAGCAAAAAAAAACATGTTTATGTATACTTGATTTCATTACTTGAAGCTTACCCATTGATGTTGAAGCAGTGTGCCCCGCTGTTTCGTAGACATGATCCTGGCCGTAAGCATTTCTATTGTTGCTGGTAATGGCAGAACCACTGCAAAAATTCGGCAACAGATTTTTTTTTTTATTGACACACATTTTAATAAAATTTTATTGCTCCCCGTATGTTTTACATTAACTATACAACTAATATGCCAAAATAGAGATGTTAACGATTATTAAATCAAAATTATTCTCATTAATGGCGTCAAAATTTTCATAATATGAATCAGTTAATTACATTTCCATATAAACACAGATGTTACGCGAGGATAGTTTTCAAAGAATACACACTCATACACAGAAAATCGCACACAAACACACCTTAAAACACTACCCTTCTTAACAAACGTAAAGATTACTACCTGCTTTTGGAGCCTCTCTTCCGAAGAAAAATAACTACAGCAACAGTTACTAGGACAACAAGACAGCAGCATAGGCCGATGGCAATGCTGGCACCCGTAGATAGAACGCTTCCATTGTTCTTAGGATTGTCTGAAATGTATGGGAATAGACATCTTACTGTTAAGTCCTTGTCATGTCGTACGCAAAACACACACGTCATGTGCTTTTTAATTGGTTTGTGTGATTTTCTTGAACGTCGGCATACCTAAAGCTACGCTGCGTACGCTGATACGTACACACTGGTCCCAAGTTGTAAATAAACACACAATGCGTCATTCCCACATTGATTGAGGATTCGCGGTTTATATTCGACAATTATCTGATGTGTCTAACATACATTTTGCCTACATGTATGTGTAACTTACGTCAAGTGTAATTGCCAAACATACCGGGTACACAAGGATTTTGTATCGTTTTCGGCGTCCTAGAATGACTAGATGCCAATGCGATTTAGCTGGTCTGTTACACCAAAGGGCGGTTATACCGATTATACGGATACAGATTTGAAATCTGCACGCCGTTAATAAAAAAAAAACAGCGAGATCGGCATAAATGGAGTATATGTTGTGCAGACGAAGTGCATTTCTTACTATGCGAATTATGGTATTGCGAACAACATACCGACATAATACCTACCTTATTCGCAATTGATGTGCTGAATTTGTCTTTTATATGTTAGCTGCGAGCCAAAGTAATAAAAACATCGCCCTTTTTTTAATATGGCCGCGTATGAAAAAAAGGTCGATATCAAACTCATACTGAATGAGGATACGCAAAACAGAGGAAAGGGCCCTAAAGCGCATTGGTTATGTACACTCCTGTGTCAAAGAATGATCACGGTCTTAATGTATATTAGTCTGGATAGTTAATCAGATTTAACATCTTAAACTTGCTTTAATGCCAATGAACATGACTCAGTAAATTACATTTCCTGTAGGAGGGCGGTTAAAATATTTGTTGAATTTACCTTTTTTATAAGGGGTGCAGTAGGTTGCAAAGGAAACGTCATCCAATGCAATATCTCCCTGGTCCCCATTCCCAATAATTGCTTCAAGAATGACCTGAAAGGCGATGTCAAAATATGTTTATTAATACATACAGAGAGTGTGAATAATGTTAGGTGAATCTTCTTTAATGCATTTGGCTTCTGGTAATTGAACAATATAAAACATACCGAGTAAACGCCCCATTCCTTGTTAATGCTGACAGATCCATAAGACCAACTTCTCCCTTGATCTCCTTGAAGACTCCACAGCTCCTTGGTTCTGCCGTTTTCTTGGTTCAAAAGAAGGACTCGCAGCTGCCCGATGTGATGACCGCTCATGTGGTAAAAGAAGCGAAACTGTAAATAAGAAAAATGTTTAAGGTCTTTCATGCAGAATATTATGAGGGTGCACTTAATGAAAACGAATGGATGCTACCTGAAACGTCTAACTGATTCTAAATCATACCCGGTTGCTTGAGTAACTGATTTTTGGTGCAAAGAAAATAGAAACCATTTATGCCTGTTCTGTACAAGAAAAATCAATGTCAAATTTACAAAGTAATAAACTTAAAAGATTAAGATTAAGTATATAATAAACCATTTTGCCCGTTCCTTACAAGAAATATAAGAATAATTTCTTTGTTTGGAAAATGAATGTAATATTGTGCATTGAATAGACTTGAGAAAAATCAACCACGTTGTAAATGTCAAATAGGAAAAACTTACCTGGCAGTCCGTGGAGTTCGTGTACGCAGGACTGATGAGTCGAGCAATCTGGCCTGCCTGTCTCCTGCTAGCTTCAATGTACGCATAGAACCCTATAAATAGAATTATATATTTCAAGGTGTTGCCGCTATGTGTCGACCATGTTTTTGATATAGCAAAATGGAATACAGTTGGCTTATCTGTTTCATTTCAGGGTATTTACAGTTCTTAAACAGAAACAAGGGGGCACGCGAATCCTATGACGATCTTATCTTGATGGGGTTGCAAGCTGTTGAAGACTATTTCCGTCTTTCACTATTTAGCTTACCAAATGGACTCTTGTGTGTGTGGTCCGTTATTGGTCCGGTGTTTTCGGTGTCTGTTGTTTCTGCACCTCTGACAAAGTCAAAGTCATCGTCCGGATCTTGAGACCAGGAACAGAAGTCCTCCTGGAAGTCACATCTTCCGATTTCTATAACATTACATATCGATCAGTCTCTCACAAACATTCAACCCTCAAACTACCGTATGTGGTCAAAACTGACCCCAGGCGTATATAAATATGTGTCATTTTGACACTTCTTGTCGAAAACGAAATTCTATGAGTAATTGTATATATGTCTTATAACTTCTCTCCTTTTACAGAGATTGGAACATTGTTGATTGAGTTATCCTAGAACGTTTATGGGTGGTCCAGTGGGGTCAAAACTGACCACAATATTAAACACATGGGAGTCTTTGTTGTAGTCAATTTTTCATCCAGGTAATATGTTTGCTTGGGTTTTCTGCTGCCATTTGAATTAGCTTAACATATTGCCTAGTCGAAGATCAACGACATGGCTGCCTGAAGGCATATTGTTTCCGCTGCATAAATTATGATAATGAGCAGAAAGAATTCACATCTAATTATGTCAAATTGTCCCACATAGAAACTCTACATATTCAAAAATAAGAAAAAAACTATATTCGTGCAAAACAGTATGGGGTCAGATTTGACGAATCTTACCGTGTGGGATCAGATTTGACCCTTCGCGGTAAGATTCGTCGCAAAAAAAAACCTACGCCAAGGTTTAAATAATACGTTCATCTATAGTGCACACAACACGAGGTTGTTTTTCAAACAGACAAATATATTAATTAGTATCTGATAGACAGTGATCTAGACAGTAATCAGACAACTAAAGGCTGCTCCAACGTTACTATAAAACAAAATATATAACTTTGTCTCTCGTATGTCATAATTCAACATTTAAAATTCAATAAAAAGACCATGCATTTACCATCATTACAGGCGTTTCCCTCGTCAGAAGAGTCGACACAGTTATCCTCATAGTTACATACCAGATTATGGGAAACACATTCCCCACTCCGGCATTGAAACGACTGTTCTGTAAGCTGGCAGTCAGTGCTTTCTGTAAAATAAATGACGTTTAAGATTAACGCGACTACAAATAGCGTTACCTTTGTCAGCTCTTTTATTACGACGTGCAAACAAAAGGCATTATTCCATCACTACATTTTACGCCACTCTGGCTAGAAACAGCTATGTATTGGTTGTTTTTAATTGAATTAAAAAGAATATAATACAGTAAGCCATGGCATAGAATGCAATCTCTATCTCAGGAGGAAAAAAAATCAAAAGTACACCTGTTGAAAGTTTGTTAACGAGTTGTAAATAGGTCATTTCAAATGGTGACAATGAAAAGACTTTATCAGAATTTTTTTCTTTATCTCAGACAAAAAAGTGATTGGGTAGAAAGTTGTGTATTTTACTTTTTCGAAAAAGAGCCAGTTGACCAAGGTATCAAGTTGCAGAATTGCTATTTCACGCAGGCGTGATAATTTCCCCTTGCCTGCTGTGTCAGTTTGATATGTGTTTTGTGTTATACTTGTATTGCATGTGAATCGAATTGTGACTCTTACCTATTAGGCATCCCGATGTCAACGTGACATCGTCAATGGCGATAGATCCAGTGTCTGCAGCCCTCACGATCCCCTCAAAGGAAACCTTGGGACACATGTGATTTGCGTGTCTTTTAATCACTAGCAACTGTTCAGCACACTGAATCATTATATTTAAGGCGCAAAAATTGGAAATACTACTAAATCGTTAGTGAAAACCACAAATAGTATTAAATAGTACTAAGGTACTAAATAGTACCTGAAACGGTTCTGTATTGGTAACTGTAACTTGTTCTTTATTCCATTTGTTTCCTTGTGAAGTATTTTGTTGCCAGAGTCTGCGGATGCTCTCTTTTGTTTTGATAGAAAGATGCAGTTCCCCTACATTGGCTGTCATGTAGTAGTGGAACAGAACCTGCATTAAAAACATTCATATGACGACAAAATTAACACAGATGTGATAAAAATGACACACACAAGAACATTAACAGGAGTTTACTGAGTCTGAAATTTAAAAGAAATGCATTCAATTCTCTTCACATGTCGTTCCTTTTTTTCGAGGATAAAAAATATTCATTACCCTCATAGTGAGTTAAATAACTCAAATCCAAGGCATATTTTGGAACAATAGCACTAGATACTCCACAAGAATCAGTATACATTCTTATCATCGATGTTTTATCTTCCAGATGACTTATATATAAGCGTAGACGTTGGATAATTTCGTTTAGTGCTACATTTAAGTACTCTTTCCTATTAAAAAATATCCGTACCTTGCATTGGGATCCGTTTGCCGAAAGGTGTTGTGGCAAAAGCAATTCCGCGTTTTTAGTTCCTTGGTGTACCAAATGACCAGCAATGTACAGATAGTATCCGTCTGTGGCAAACAAGGGCAAAGGAAATAATATGGTAGATACGTTTCATTGGGACAATGCCCTAATATGGGCAGCAGGTGTAACCTGTTTGGAGATCTGGTCGCTGATTGTCTGTTCCCTTCATTGCTATACTGCTAAATGAACACCTGTGTATGGTTGCACATACTTATAATAGGAAAAGTTACTTTGTTTTTAGGGGTAGGTATGTCAAAATTTCATGCTCAAGCATTGGAATGCGAGGCGTAAACGCTTCTTTTATCTTGAAAATGAACAGTTTGCATCATACAAATAAAGATTATAACCAATAATGTAGGGGATAGCTACCCAACTGTTGCATTCTTAGTTATTTGTTACTTATAATATAGTCATATCAATATAAATCATTGTTTTCCCTTGTATTTCTCCTTTTTTCATTGTCATACCGTGAAATGTGGTGGAGCCATGCTGAATTTGCTCCAAAGAAAATGTCGGCCTTTCTAGTTACATTTACATCCAAATTAAATATGTAAACCATTTAAAAAGTATTATCATGCATATCAACATACTTTGTTTACAAACAAATATGGATTAAACACTTTCTTCTTAAAGTACACAAATGGCAAGATATTTATGTCAAAATACCTGCCCGCGCCTGATGATCAGTGGGAGGTGCTTGATCTGAAACCCCAGATGAACCTCGGATTCGCAACCAATCAGTATCGTCTGACTTGGGCTGTATCCAGTTGCAGAGGCCATTTTGAAAATTGCATCTACCAGGATAGTGGTCTGGAAAAAGAAATAATCATAACATACTGTCCCTTAGGAAAATAGGAAAAGTAATTCTTTGACAGCATATCTTTAAAATATTAATATACATATGTGTGTATTATCCAACAAAGTTAGAAAGGTCTATATATTCAATAAACTCTCCCCGCTTAGTCAGTGACTGTCATCCTTGCTTTACACATGGGGAGCGTCTTGGCTAAGAAGATAAATAATACACATCCTTCAAACCACAACCACTTTCAGAAAACGGGTGTCTCTGACGTTACGTTCCAGAGTAAACGGGTCCATTCCGTGATAAGGTTGACGGAGTCAGTTGAAAATTTGGGGTAAGTCCCAATTCTTTGTAGTTAGTGCTGGAAGTTAATGTTTAGCCTTCATATCATAATGACTTGTACAGATTTTATTTTTAAATCTGCAAAGCTCAATAAAAAAAATATTTAAAAAAAATACTAACAGGGATGAACTTTAATGATAACAATACTTACTGCAGTTGTTTTCGTCAGACGTGTCCCCACAGTCGTTGTTAAAGTCGCAGTAGGTCTCTAGCGGCACGCAGACACCATTGTGGCAGGGAAACTCGCTGTCCAAGCATTCGTGCCAGAACCCTATGACAAGGGGCGTTAGGGGTATAAGATATAACGAGTAGACGTCGTAGAAAAAGGCTAGAAATGTTCTGCAAAAATCTTTTTTTATCACAGGTCTAAACTAATTACCTTTACCTGAACAACGCACGGAGACATCAGTAGCATGAGAACAGCGCGGTTGGTGATGGCCCCAGCGACTATGGCTACATTCTGTGATTTTTGAATGCGTTTCAGGGTCACAGCGGACCTCGTCAAGGTGAATAGGAACTCCTTGACTTGCAGGATATTTACTGTTAAACCACTGGGACTCCCCGTAGCCTAGCTGATCACAGATAACGTCGGAGGTGTCCTTTGTCCACCCGCTGTTGCAGATGGAGCCCCATTCATGGTTAAAATAGACTTCTATTCTTCCCTCACCGAATGAATCTCCATCGACGAGCCTGACGTTACCATCGACTGAAACACAACGAAACATCATCGTCAGCTTATTATAGTAAAGCATTGACTTTGTATGAAACTTGGGCTTTAATTTTCTTTGAAGAAAGTTTTGAAATTTGATTACTTGACTCGAGCATCCAATGAGTTACTTGCATTGGAAAGAATCCAAATTATCACAATCTTATGAACATTGGATTCAGAATAACATCCCCTTTTAACACCAAACTACACAAACTTATATAAACCAACGCAATATATATATATATATATATATATAT